GTTGTTTGTTCAGACCAATGAACCGTTTTCTTGGTCCTACATGTTTTCATCTGGAGGTGACTCGTAGTTCTTTTGGGATCAAGGTGGATGTCCAGGGCCCTCCTCTCGTCGTCTGCCGGTCTGTCCTTGACGTCACTCTTGCTGCACTTGGGTCGTTACCTCGAGTCGACCGAACCCTCCTTCCTCGACTGTCCTGTCTGTCCGGTGCCCTCAGTGGACTTTGTGGAGCTCCCTGCTGGCAAGCTCCACGGGCCTTCTCTGTTATTTGGACTTCTCGCTGGATTTTGCCTGCTTCCACTCCTGGAATTGCTTCTGTGCATTCGGGGTATAGTCTGGTTGCGGATAGAGCGGTTGATAAGGCCCCCCTTTAGGTATCGGTTGCTCTAACTCGGCCTTGTATGAGCTTGGAGCTCCGAGTGCAGCACCTTGAAGAGCTTGTTGTTGAGCTAAGGCGCCAGGTTTCCGAGCTCCAGACCCGTCTGGACGAGGCCAGGTCGCCTGCCTCCTCCTTTGACCTTGTGCCTTCGACCGGCGCTGCCAGTGCACCCGCTCCCCTTGAATCCCGTCAGCCGACGGGCTTGGGTTTAGGGGGTTCTAGCTCTAGTCCTCGACCCGCCTCTTCGGTTCCCCTAACTGCCTGGCACCCCTACCCTACAGCTCAGGTTCCCACAGAGAGTGCGCCGTCTGCAGCCGCAGCCCCCCTTACTTCCTGGAACCCTAATCCCGCACCCTCCGTGCCAAGCCGAAGTTCAGCCACCTTGTCAGCGTCGGAACGTGCTGCAGCGTGCCGTGAAATAGGGCTGTTTCTGCGCAGAGCTTTGGACGGCCAACACAGGGGAGCCTCTGGCCGAGATCGATTGCCGTTGCAATCTCGCTTTTGGATTGTGGCTCGCGACTTTAGTGGAAATCCTCTTGTGCCGGTGCGTGTGTGCAAGACCTTTCGCGACTGTGCTCGGCTTTGCAAGCAAGGTTCAGATTTAGGTGACTCCGTGTGTGTTGGGCTTCCCGCTCGGCAGGACATCATTGCTGTCTGCAGTGCTGCAGGCCTCGCCTTGCCCGACAGTTGGTGAGATGGAAGAGGAGGTGGAAGGAGTTGACGGAGAAAAGCTCTCCGCGCGTGACTGTGCGGCGGTGGGCGAAGGTTTCCTCGATCAGCTGAGCCCTTTGTGCATTTTGCCATGTGGGCAGGACGAGGAAGGTGCCGAGGTCACAGTGCACTGTGTTGTGGTTGGCGACATCAAGGGCAAACTCCTTATATGCTTGCCCTCTGCGTCCTGGCATCGCACGGTGGCCCGACGGACTATCCCGAAGGGTTTCTTGAGTCGGGTGTTTGCTGCCGAGGTTGCCGCGGTGAGCTTGGTCGACAGGTCCGTGGAGGTGCCAGGCCAAACTCTGCGTGTGTGGTTAGGCTTCTGCGAGCTGGAGGCAGAAGCTCTGCTAGAGGTCAGCGATGCCTCGCCTTCCGTGCCCTTTGGGGCCCTGCCGAGTGGGGAGCTTCTGGTTCCTTCCATAGACGTGTTGGCCGAGATTTGGCAGGCTCAGCAAGTCGTCCCCCCGCCCACTCCGCTGCATACTGCTTCCGAGGGTGGGGGTCAGCCTCCCGACGTTTCCGAGCGAATCGCCTCTATCGAACGTTCAGTGGCTGCTCTCACCGCTGCTTTTCGCGATGCCTCTTTGGGCACAGGAGTGTCTGCGGCCGCCAATGCCGGTTCAAAGCCCAAGGTTGCCCTAGCACCTCCCAAGACTTTCTTTGGCGGTGTGGCCAAACAGCGAGGTGCCGAGGCAGAGTTTCCAGGCCTGGATCAAGGTGTTGTGGCGGCCGCTTTGGCTGCAGGGGTTCAGCACGGAGCGCTGGTGGAGATGTCCAAGTTAGTCAGTGCAGGCCCCCTGGCACGACTCAAGCCCGAGGCCTCAGGAGCTGCCGCCAAGCAAGCTACGCAAACCGCCCTCGAGGAGTCCGAGGAAGAAGGTCAGGAGGTCCTTCCGTTTCCAGCGCAGGCGGCGGGGAGCACCGATCCCCAGCAAACCGACCCAGCCGAGATGTTTGCCAAAGCCGTGGTGAACTGTTTCGACGCATACCACGGCAAAACGGTCTCAGGCAAGACGGCCTTGGACAAAGCACTGGAGGCAGGCGCAGGTGGATCGCTCGATGGCTCTTTGAGTTCCGGCCGGAGGCATGCAACGGCCAGGCGCGCGCTCCGGGAGGCGTTGACCTCGGCTCCCCAGGAGCTGTCGGCACTGATCGAGGGCCTGATGGCAGAAGACTTGTGCGCCTCTACGCCCGGTGCTGGTGCTCCCGTGCTTACGTCGACGCGGGCTTGGCTAGAGCATCGCTCACGGATTCAAGCCTTCCCAACGATGGTGAATCTCGTGTGGGCGATTGGCGGGGCCTTGGATTGCTTACGGGCCAACAAGGTCGATCAGGCTCGTGCTCGCCTCAACATAGCCTTGATGCAGGCAGACCAGGTCTCGATCGACCGCGGGTCGTGGTTGCTAGCACAGGAGCTTTCGCTAGAAGTGGGTCCCCCAATGACTTCCTTCAAGCGCCACGAGGCAGTGAGCTCCCACGGGGACCCAGTGTATTCCAGGCTGCTGGATGCGCGCTGGGCCGAGGTTGCCATAGCGAAGTTGAGGGAGGAGGCCGAGTTCATGGAACGGCGGCAAAAACTCGGGCAGCGCCTTCAGCCAAACCTCAAAGACGAGAGCGCGGGCGAGACCGCCGAAAAACCGCCCCGGCGCCCTCCGAGGAAGCCACCCCCAAAGAACGATGCATGAAACAGCGGCCCGAGCGCAGGACCCCCGGCTCCGAAGCCCCTGGCCTCTCGCTCTTTTCGCTGTGGAATTCAATGCCCCGAACCCTGCTGCGGAGCTCGGGCCCTTTTGCCTCTTTCTTTCGTTCTGCGTTGCAACGGGAGTCCAATGCCACTCCCACGCCTTACACCTGGCCTTGCCCGATGCCTTTCCCCGAAGCCTTTGCCGCCGACGGCCTTGGCTTCTGGAAGAAGCGGTTGATTAACATTTCGGTCGCCCGGTTGTCCTACGAACATCTCGGACGGCCGCTTCGGTGCCCTGGGGCTGTACGCCTAGGGGTGCCCCTCAATCGCAAGCAGGAACTTACAGCACCTGGTGTTTGGCAGCTTTTTCCCTTTGAAGTTTCAGCCAGAAGACTATGGGCGCATCGGGCACAAGGTTGAAGGGCAGGCTCAGACTTTGGAGGCGTTAGGCCGTGCCGCCGCTTCCGTTTGCAGAAGCTTCGACGGTTACTTGCCGCGCTCCGTCACCGTTGCCGGGCCTTCGACTTTGGGGCCGTCCCCTGTTGAGAGCATTGGCACGCTGCCGGGAAAACCTGACATTGCTGCTATGCCGATCACGGCCGACCGTGTGAAGCTGCCTGCCTCTCCTGCCTTTTGTGCCTCGCCTTTCATGGATTCTGACACCGCGGAGTTTTTCAACAGACCGCTTGAGTTTGCCCGCAGCCCTGATCCGGCGAGTGAACGGCCTCCTTTCGTAAAGATCTTGGCCAACAAGCGGGAGAAACTTCTTCTGCTCCGTGCGCTCGCCCGCTCAGGGCGTCTGGTCCCGCTCGACCAAGTGCCTCCCGAACGTGCTGCGTGGGGCGCGGGGTTGTTCGCAGTGGCCAAAGACAGCCTTCGTGATCGCTTGGTGCTCGACGCTCGACCAGCGAACCAGCTGGAGAGTTTTCCTGGGCATTGGGTGTACAGTCTGGCTAGTGCTGCCTGCGTCGGCGGTATCGTCCTCCGACCCCATGAAGTATTGATAATGTGTGGCACTGACCTGCAGGACTGCTTTTATCAGTTCAAGGCTTCTGCGCAGCGTACCGTCAGAAACCATCTGGCCTGCGAGCTCTCGGTGCAAGATGCTGCGTTTGTCTTTGACCGGCCTGAGGCTTCGTTTGGCTTTGCCTCTGCCGTCGTGCATTGCGGTTTGAGTTCACTGGCAATGGGCGACTCGTCGGCGTGCGAATTCGCGCAGTGCAGCCATTTGGGAGTCCTTCTCCAGGCCCGTGCCGTTTGCATGGGGGAGTTGTTGGTGCAAGCAGCTTCTCCTCCTCGCGGCTTGCTGTCGGTTGGCTTGGTGATTGACGATCTTATCATCATGCAGAAGCTTTTGGCCAGCCAGGTTTCGGATCTGGAAGGGCCTCTACAGCAAACCCAGGCCTCGCTGCGACTCGACTCTGCCTTGGCTGGCTATGATGCAGCCCACCTTCGCTACAGCGAGAAGAAGACGTTCCGTGACCGTCTTCAGGCCTCGTTCTGGGGGGTTGATTGCTGTGGGCGTTCAGGCCTTGTGCGTGCGAATCCGGCGAGGTACTGGCCGTTGGTTTTGATCACGGTCAGAGTGCTGCAGTTGGGCTTGGCCACACGGGCGTTGCTCGAAAGCCTGATAGGGTCTTGGGTTTCGGTCTTTATGCTGAGACGCCGACTTTTGTGTCTGGTGGACCTTTCCTTTCAGGCCCTGCGTGGTGGCACACCGCAGACAATCCTGCGCCTGAGCCCTGAGCTCAAGGGCGAGCTTGCCTCCTTTGTGTGTCTTGGACACCTCGCTGTCGTGGACTTGCGGGCTCAACCCTTGGACAGCATAATCGCAACTGATGCCTCCAGTGCGTGGCAGGCAGCGGTTTCTGCTCCTGTGTCCTCTGAGGTTGTCGCCGAGTTTCAGCGACACGCTGTGCAACGCGGCGCCTGGTCAAAACTCCTCCCTCCGCCGGCTGCCTGGTTAAAGGAGCATAACCTCCTCGAGCCCGAATCCGAGCTACCCGGGGATACGGTTTTTACTGCTCACCCTGTTGCTGAGGCAGCGGCCAGAGTACCTGTGTTTGAAGTGAGGTGGAGGAGAGAGCACAAGCGCAGGATGCACATCAATGTTGCCGAGCTCGAAGCTTACTTGCACGAGGAGAGCCGGCTGGCAGGGCGCGTGCTTTCGGGGCGGCCGTTGTTTGGTTTGGACTCTCAAGTGTGCATCGGCGCGTTGGCCAAGGGGCGCAGCGCTAGCCCGGTACTGAATCGCAAACTGAGAGCTTCGTTGGCACCTCTCTTGTGCTCTCGCCTGTTCCCGCACTACTTGTTCTTCCCGACCGACCTCAACCCAGCCGACGACCCGACAAGAGCAAGAGCAGTGCGTGCGCCTTCGTTGCAGAAGCCTTCTTGGTGGACTTCCTTGGAAGAAGGTGATACCGCCCCTTTTGACGAATTCCTCCGGTCCGCCGGCGTGCCGGCCGACGAGTCGAATGGTTTCAAGCAGGACGACCTTCTCTCTCTTGGTGGCGTCCGCCCGGCCGTGCTCAAGTCAAATCGGGAGCGCGGCTTGTCTTCTGCCGTCGCTCGGCTCCCTCGCCATCGCGTGCCCGGCAGTTCTTCGGTGCCCGTTTGTTTCGAGTCTTGCGGGTGTGGACTTTCCTCTGGCGTGGCGTCTCTCCCTCAAGCTTGGACTTCTGTGCTTGAGCGTTTTCCCTTGCGGCAGTTCCTTTGCAGGCGCCGGTGCCCCTTGGATCTCTCGCGTCCTGGCGTCCTGCATTTGTTCGCCGGGGCTGACTCTGTGGCCCGTGCTTTGTTGCGGGCTGGGGCTCCGTGGGTGCTGACGTTTGATCCGCAGCGGGACCCTCGCGAGGATCTTGCTCAGAGCGCTTTGCGACAGCAGCTGCAGCTGCTGATGCTTGCCGGCGCCTTTCTGGTGGTTGGTGGGTCGCCTCCCGGTTCCACTTTTTCACGCGCGGTGCGACCTCCTGTGCGCTCCCGCTCCCGGCCTCTCGGTCTGTGTGACATTTCTCCCCGTCTGCGTGCCAAGGTCCTTGCAGACAACGAGCGTGCTGAATGGATTTTGCATCTCCGTGACCTGTGTCGTCAGCTTGGGATCGCCTATTGGTTTTCTCAGCCGGACACTTCCTTCTTTTGGTTGGTGCCGGGCTGGGAAGACGAAGCTTTTCCTGCCTCGCCACATACCTTTCGTGCCGACCTTTGCTTGTTCGGCTGCTTGTGGCGAAAGAGAACGAGGGTTGCCTTAAACACGTCTCTTGCTGGTGCTCGGCTGCTGTGTCAGGCCAAGGTGCGTCACTTGCGTCTGGTTGGGCGCTCCTCTGCCGAGCGTCTGCCTTGGACTTCGCTTGCCCAAACGGTTCCTGCCGGCTTCGCGGACGCTGTGGCCTTAGCGGCTTGCGTCGCCGCTCGCTGGACTTCGGCGCGTGCGCTTGGCCCGTCTTCGTGTGCCAAGCTTGGCTGCTCTTGCCGAGTTGGGGAAGCCAAGAACCCTGGTCCTCGCAGGCGCTCTACCCGCCCTGTTGGCGATCTCGAATCGCGTCCTCTTCAGTCGCAGACCTCGCTCTTCTTGGGCGATTCCGCGTGGCGCGCTTTTCTGTCCTGGGTGTCCGGTCGTCTCTCTGTCGATCCTGTCTCCCTCTTCGTAGCCTGTCCGATCCTCGCCGCCATGGCCCTGCGTGCTTATGGGAATCACCTTTTCAGCAGCGGTGGAACGAAGCATACCTTCAGGTACACGTTGGTGGGAGCTCAGAGAGCTTTGCTGGTGCTGAAGGGCTCCCTGGGCCCCGCTTGGGAGCTTCTCACGAGATGGGAGGCCGTCGAGCCAACGATCCATCGAACACCTGTTCCAGAACCCCTGTTGATGGCAATGGTTTCTGTCGGCTGGCTACGAGGCTTCAGACGTTGGTGTGGGTGCGCGCTCCTCGCCTTTTACGGGACGGCTCGCATCGGCGAGGTGTTGGCTTGCCAGCGTAGGCACCTGGTGCTTCCGGAGGACCTCTTCAAGCACAGCTCGTCGCTGTTCCTGCGCCTAGACTCTTCGAAGACGTCTCTGCGCGGGAGGCCTCGAGTTCAACATGTTCGTGTGGACGATCCGGAAGCACTTGCTTTAGTACGGCTAGCCTTTGCAGGTTTGGAACCAGGTGAGAAACTTTTTCCTCTGAGCCATGCTGCTTTTCGTACCAGATGGGACAGATGTTTGGCAGCCTTGGGTCTGGGTGCAGGTGTCAGCGTGACACCAGGCGGGCTACGGGGCGGCGGTGCTGTTGCCTGCTACCACAAGGGCACGCCGATCGCCGACATCCAATGGAGACTCAGGCTCAAAAACATGGCGACTTTGGAGCACTACCTCCAGGAGGTCGCGGCGCTGACGGCCCTGAGCGAGGCCTCCAGCGATGCAAAGTCCAACATTCAGCACGCCGTACAACTTTTTCCTTTTCTGGTTGCTACTGGTTAGCGTCTGCTGCAGTCTTCGACAACAGCGCGCGGATGTAACGCGTCTGCGCCTTCCTTTTGCAGACTGGTCCTGGTCAGAGGTGGAAGGGCACTCTTTTACTGCCTACGATGTGGCTCAGCTTGCTTCGCTTTTCGGCTAAAGCCTTTTCCTGAGCTGCAGCTTTAGGGTGCCTCCCGCAAAGTGCGGAACACACGACTGTTCGACCAGCGGCGCAGCCAAAACCGGGTCGACGGAGGGATCGCAAACATGGTCCTACATGTTTTCATCTGGAGGTGACTCGTAGTTCTTTTGGGCCCGCCCTCCCGCCCGAAGGGCACTCTTTTACTGCCTACGATGTGGCTCAGCTTGCTTCGCTTTTCGGCTAAAGCCTTTTCCTGAGCTGCAGCTTTAGGGTGCCTCCCGCAAAGTGCGGAACACACGACTGTTCGACCAGCGGCGCAGCCAAAACTTGTTTCTTTTTGTCCTGGGGCAGC